CCCTACCCATTATACATATGTGAGACCTGCTCTTCTCAAACTTGTTACAACAAAATAGAGAATAGGCTATGATTGTCCCCGATAATAACATTAAATGCTCAATAGTTGACTGTGGTGTAATGTTCCAAATTAAAATTCTCTAAACAAAGTGGACATTTCTTTTATCAGCATTACAGACAATGAAGAGTGAAACTTTGGGAAGATCCAGACTTCAGAAAAACAAAAATGTGAAAGGTGAGAGAGGGAAGCAGAGGGCAGCTGTGACCATAAGTTGAGACTCTAAGCACTCTACCCTGTGGTACAGTGTTTCTTATTTTTGCAGATATCCTGTTGACCTCCAAAAGGGAAGCCTAGAGGTTGACAAGACCCCTCATTCACTTACCAAAAACCCATACATAGTCTGCTTATTCAGGAAAAAGACCAGTTGAAGAAACAAAATTATTAAGCTGCTGAAGCAGCCAGAGAGCAACCAATTAGCCTAGTCTTATTAATAAATATGTATGATGGTAAAGTTTCACTAGATGGCTGAGGAAAACCAATAGCTTGAAAGAAAAGGATCCAGAGGCAACATGAGTAATGAAGGAAAACGTAAAAAAAAAAATTCAACTAGTATCGAGAGAAAAAAACACTGTATTCAAATAATTTAAGTTACATATTTCCATTCAAAAAAAAGAAATAGGTACTGAAAATAAAAATTGCATTTAGTGAAAGAATAAAAAATTAAAGCTAAATAAGGTAATGAATAGAAGTGAAGACAAAATTCGTAATGTGGATGTCAGGAAGAAAATGCACTGCTAAAAAACTTAAGAAAAATACAGGCAAATAGTTTTATAATGTTATGGTGGGAAAGACTTTCCTAAGAAACACATACAATTTGGAAAGCATAAGGAAAACTATTGTAGCTTATTTCTCTTGGGACCACTCTTTGTAATATAAATTTTGTTAGGAAACTGAGCATTTCCTAATAAATATTTAAGTTTCATAGTGATAGCATCGCTTCTGGTAACCTCTTATAAGTCTTTAAATCTCGCTATGGAGATATGCCTTTTGTCATTTCTAACACATGTTTATACTCTAGGTTTTCCTTAAGTAGGTTAGAAATTTTTCATTAATGTTTTTCCTTCCTATTTGCCTTTGCAAGGAACCAGCTTTTAGATATATTTGTTTTTTCTACAATTTTAAAATTTCTGCATTCAATATTTTCTACTTTTATTTTTATTCTTCTTAGCCTCTCTTGCTCAATTTTTCTTGTTTTGAGATTCATTAAAATGAAAAAATTGGTTACATTATTTTCTTGTTAAATAACAAAGGGATGTAAAAACCAAAATTTTTTTCTTTTAATTTTTTTGAGACAGAGTCTTAAGCTGTCACCCTGGGTAGAGTGCCGTGGTGTCACAGATCACAGCAACCTCAAACTCCCGGCCTTAAATGATTCTCTTGCTTCAGCCTCCCAAGTAGCTGGGATTACAAGCACCCACCACAATGCCCGGCTATTTTTTTTTGTTGTTGTTGCCATTGTCATTGTTATTAGCTGGCTGGGCATGGTTTGAACCCACCACGCTTAGTGCATGCGGCTAGTGCTGTAACCACTGAGCTATGGGTGCTGAGCCCTAAATTTTTTTCCTTGAGTATAGATTTTACTGCTCTTCCTAACTGGTTTTTATATACTTTGTAATTGTACTCTTTTTTTTTTTTTTTGAGACAGAGCCTCAAGCCTGGGTAGAGTGTCATGGTATCACTGCTCACAGCAACCTCAAACTCCTGGGCTCAAGCGATTTTTCTGCCTCTGCCTCCCAAGTAGCTGGGACCATAGGTGCCCGCCACAACGTCTGGCTATGTTTTGATTGCAGCCATCATTGTTGTTTGGTGGGCCCAGGCTGGATTCGAACCCGTCAGCTCAGGTGTATGTGGCTCGTGCCTTAGCCACTTTAGCCACAGGCGCTAAGCCTGTAATTGTACTCTTGATTTTGTTATTATTGAGGAATTCCAATTAGTGTATTAATTTTCAAACACTGAAGAATTTGGTCACCTTTTAATTTCATTCTAATTTTGTTTGACTATGAACAAAACATGTACTCTATAAAAATCTCTATAGAAAGAGAAAAAGGAGCAGATGGAAGAATGGATGTTATTAAACAAATAATAGAAGATTGTTTCCCCAAGTCAAGGAAAATTTGAATCTACAGAATTAAAATCCTTATCAAATTTCAGACAGGATTGATGGAATCTACTCAAAGGCATACCTTGATAAAATGACTGATACATTGATTACTTATAATTGATGTACACAAACAATATGTATTAATTTATTGAGGGATGAAAGTTTCTACATATAACTATTAAAGCAAAGTTAGGTATCATTATTTTATTTAAATTCAAAGCTTGCTATTAGATTTCATGAATTCTTAATGATATGTACTGAAATCTACTGCAATTATATTTTTTGAGTGTTATCCTTGTTTTTATAGAATTATTCCTTTATATTTTAAGGTGGTATGTTATTTGTGCATACAAGCTTATGATTATATCTTATTAAATTGTGTCTTTTTCAGTATCCACTATCTATCTTTCTTTACCCTGTTTAGTGTTATTAAGTTTAAATTCTACTATACAGAAATTTGACTTTTCATTTTTGGTTTCTTTTTATTTGCATTTGTCTGATATATCTGGGTCTATCACTTAATTTCAAACTTTTTTTTTAAAGCACTTATATTACACATTCTTAGTATATAATTATCCATTTAGATTTATCATCTATTTATACATAGCAAGACTTATTGTTCATTATTATAACTTCCTTAATTTCTCCTTTACCCAATCTTGAGGTTACTATTTGGCTCATTTATTAGTTGATTAGAGTCTCCATGGTTAAGTATCTTCTTTATATTTAGGCTCATGTATAATTATCTATCTCCTATTTCTTTTGTTAGACTCATGTTTTTTCTTCTATCTGAAAGAAGGTCAGATGGGGGACTCAGGTCTCATTCCTGGAGATCCACATTTCGTACTGTTCTAGTGAGTGGTAGAAATGAACGGTAAGTACTCAAATTTGGCTGGTGATGGAGTTCCCTGCAGAAGAAGTAGAGGAAGTCTCTTTGCTCCCAAGACTTCTTACTCTCTCCACCTCAGGCACAGGAAGTCACAGCACATTTTTCAAACTACTCCCAGGTCTTCTGAGTAGTTAGAGAGTATCAGACATAATATCGTGAATATCTGCTTTCCGGTGTCTAGAAAGTCCATGGATTTTTACAGTCAGGTTTCTAATGAAGATCCCTGGTATTATTTTATTAGACGGCTCAAACAGTCGAGGCATACGTTCAGTGCATGCAAAAGAAAGCCTATGTGTTCTCACAGAAAACAAGGTCTTATTTGCTAGCCAGTATACATTTGGCTCATGTAAGAAAAATTCACTGTAGTGGAAAGCGAAAGGGTAACAAACACCTTCATGTTGCCAGAGTCTCAGGAACCTCTCAATAATGAAAATAGAGACAGATTTAACCTCATAAAAGTGAAAAATCCAGTACAATTAAAGTATTGAGAAACAAAGATAAAAAAAATAAAGCAGGAACAGACCAACAAGCAGTCATGATGAAACACCCTCGTTAGTAATTGAAAAGCGACAAATTTTAAATGGATATACATTATTATTAGGGCTGCTATTATTATTTTGGGTTTAGGTGAAGATGAAACAGGTATTCTCACATACACTAGGTATAGAAAACATTTGTTTGGATAGCAATTTGACTGGATTCATTTAAAAAATTAATTATCTGTTCTCTAACCTGGCAAATCAGCTTTTAGGAATGTGGATGCATAAAAGTGAATAGGCAGACATTTTTTCTGATGCCCTATTCACTAACAGAATGAAGGTTAAGTAAACTATGGCATATTTATTCTCTAGATTCTCAAAATATAAAAGAAGGAATAAGGTAGATGCTTCATGGCACCTTTTAATGTTCATAAAATAAACAAATATACAAGTAAACAACAAATAAAACAAAAACACTTGCAGACCAATATGTATAATGTGCTAGCATATATGTGAAACCTAACAAAAAGCTAACATTGTATCTTATACAAATGTTTGTATTACACACACACACACACACACACACACAGAGACAGCAAGATAATGAAACCTTTAACAGTATTTATCCATGAGACAGGACATTGTGAGGGGGAACCGAAGAGGGCATTCTGCTACTTTTTTTTTTTTCTATTTTCGATCCCATCTTCCTATAGAAATTCTACTTCTTGTGTTATGTTCTGCTTTATTGCCTGAATTTTCTTTAACCAAGATTGTATAGTAAGTTTCCAATTAAAATGTCCCACATATATATATATTTTTTGAGACGGAGTCTCAAGCTGTCCCCCTGGGTAGAGTGCTGTGGCATCACTTATAGCAATCTCCAACTCCTGGGCTCAAGCGAGTCTCCTGCCTCAGCCTCCCAAGTAGCTGGGACCACAGGCGTCTGCCACAACGCCTGGCTATTTTTTTGGTTGCAGCCATCGTTGTTTGGCGGGCCGGGGCTGGATTTGAACCCGCCACCTTAGGTGTATGTGGCTGGCGCATTAGCCACTTGAGCCATAGGCGCCGAGCCACCCACATACATTTTTATGAGAAAGAGATAGATATCAACTGATCTGTCAATAGAAAAATAGTAAATTTTACACTGTTTATGTATTAAAAATATAACATTAGCTATAATCTCCAGTCTTTGATAAAGGATAATTTTAAAGAAAGATGAGAAGTAAAATTATTTCATCAAAAATGCTAAAATTAGTTTTATTGTTAAGGTTATTAGAACATGAGTATATATTTTGCTCTTAGATCCTTGGAAGATACTGGTTAACTGAAATGACTCTGAAGCTGATTTTCTCTTTAGTTCTCACCAAATAGTTAAACCTATTAAAAATTAACTGTTCTGTAAATTGATATGTAAAAGTTCTCTTTAGAAATTATGTTACTATTTATTTAATAAAACAAAAGCCATACTTACAACAAAGAGTAGACTGAACTGCTCCAAGCTGTGGAAAGGTCATAAGAACAGAAATCCCTGGTAGATCATTTGGCTTTGGATGTTCAATAGTTTGGTCAGCCCACACTACCACTTTTTTCCTCTCTACCAAATGTTCAATTTCCTTGAAGTCAGACTCAAAAGCATCATTTGACAGGCCGGCTTCTTTTAATGTGCAGTATTGTTTTCTTAGGGTTGGAAGTAAAGCATTCAATACTCTACATGAAGATGACAAGAAAGATAAATGCTAAATTTTAAATACATTATTATAGTTCTTTTATAGAACACCTAAAGTATTGGCGTATCATTAAAATGACTCCCTGTGTATGTTTTCTTTTACAGTATGTTATTTCAGATATATACTTCAACATATTCTTAATATGGAAAGAATCTTGAAAAGGAATTATGAGAACCAGGCTCTAGTTTCAGATAGTTTCCACTTGCTTCTATATGCCCTTGAATAAGGTAAAAACTAAAGTTTCTCATCTATAATGTTGGAGACAACCAGACAGCCACTACTTAAGATAGGAGATTGTTTTGAGTACTAAATGAGTTAAATATACATAAAAGCTTTTTGCAAAAAAGTGGGATTTCCAATCCACAGATATTGTTGTCATTATTACTAATTATCATGGGATTGAAATGAAAAGTTAACATAGTATGTCAAATGATGAGACTCTTATCTTTTGTATAACATTAAGATACACATACACAAAGAAGGAAGAACAAAGAACAAAGCCTAACTCCCTTTTAAGTTAAATGGTCTTAAGCATGGCTTTCACAATGGGGTTCAAAGGGGTTTCAAAGAGAAGAGTTCTGGACAAGGATGGTGGTTTGGAAAAATCATTAAGGCACTAGATTCTTGATTCTGACTCAAAATCTCTCCTACATACATCACCAATAAGAGGAACACTGAATGTATCTTTTTATGTCTAAGACTTCTGTGTAAGTGTTCACCAAAGACCAAAGCTAAATACTTATATATTTATACACTCAAATAATGGTTCTTAACTTTTATATAAAGGAAGATGCCTAACAACATGAATGATCTTGAAATGATTCAATCCTAAGGCAGACAATGAACTCATTAAATACATGAGAATGGAACCATTTTAAGTATAGACAGGGCAGTGGGAAAATAAAAATTAGGTATTAATTTTAATATACAAGGAAATAACACCTTAATACCTAGCAGTCTTTTTTTTTCTTAGACACAGTCTCACTTTGTCACCCTCAGTAGAGTGCCATGGCATCACAGCTCACAGCAACCTCCAACTCTTGGGCTCACACAATTCTCTTGCCTCAGCCTTCCAAGTAGGGGACTATAGGTGCCTGCCACAAGGCCTTGCCATTTTTTAGAGACAAGGTCTCACTCTTGCTCAAGCTGGTCTTGAACCTGTGAGCTCAGGGCAATCTACCCACCCGGGCCTCCCAGAGTGCTAGGATGATAAGCGTGAGCCATAGTACTTGGCCTAATACCTAGTAGTCTTAAATATCTACCTAGAAAAAGAATCTGCAATCTTTTTCTGTTGGTGGGTGGTATGTCATTTAAGTAGGTAACAAGTTTGGAGAAAAGTTATTAATCAAAAAATCAATAAAACAATTATTTATCGAGCACCAATACTAATCAAGTACTGTAGAGGCATTAACATAGTACTAGTTCTGAGACTGCCAAGAAAGACTTGCTTGCACGGTTGTTCCTTGGCTGGCACCTTAAATCATTAATTTGGGGGAGAGTTCCCTACCACTTCCACAACTGATAAGAGCGGCTCATTGTACTTACACTGAAAATCTGTTTTCCTTCTGAAAAGCCTAGAATTTTGGTAAATGTTAGGCAGAGGGTGACTATGCAACCAGGCCCAGTAAAAACCCAGGTCACTGAGTCTCTAAAGAGCTTTCAAAGTAGAAAGAATTTTACATGTGCTGCTACACTTTTGGCTAGAGAAATGATGCACATTCTGTATGACTCCACTGGCAGAGGACTCTTGAACGTTACTCATGATGTCCTACAGACTTTGTTCCCTGTGACTTTTCCCTTTGCTTTTTTTTGCTTTGTATCCTGTTGTTCTAATAAATTGTAGCTGTTAGTACAAATAAGATGAGTCTTCTGAGTATTCCTACTGGGTCACTGTACCTGGAAATGGTCCTAGGGACCCATGACAAAGTATTATATCATGCTATTTATTTTTGTGCTATTTAATCTTTTCAAAACTTTTATGATATAATCTATCACTACATATAAGGAAAGTAAGGCTTAGCAAGGTTAAATGATTAATACCAGGTTATATTGCTAATATAAGCTAGAATTCAAAACCTAATTCTAAAACTCCTATTATTTCTACTATGCCACATTGCTTCTGTGATGCTCTGCTTCACTAATTTTCTAAATACGATAATATTTATTACCTATTTTAAGGTAAAAGGTTATCTTAAGTGTACTAATTTGTGTTTGATATAGCAAATGTAGTATGGTGAAAATAAATTAGTATTTCTTTGATGACTTCAGCTCTTGGAGGTAGTTTGTGTGCTAGGAAATGAATGTTCATTCAAAGTCTATTCTAGGCATAAATATAGAAATGATGGGGAGATTAGTTTGAATGTCCATCCACAGAAAAATATCTCCCCTAAGTTTTTCTTTTCCTTCTTCTTTTTAAAAATAGCTATACAAATATAATTTCCTTTAAATCAAAAGTAGGGAAGATTAATTACCATTTGAGAACACTATAGATTTTTAGTGTAGCAGAAAGCTCTTAGAAAAATAAATCCCACAATTTTACATCAAAGACATAAAAGTGATGCTTAAGTTGACTGACCTACCCAAGGTGACAATGAAAGATTAAGCCATATTTGTTTTTACTATTAAGTTTTTAAAATTAAATGACTAACATGTTCCTATTGAGCTAGTAAAGACTGCATAAAAGAGCTCCTATAGTATCACAAAAATATCAGGATACCTAATATTTAACAACTTCATTGTAATAAGAAAAAATATTATTCTAGAATTATGAATAATTAACAATCGCCTGCTTAAAAGTTCAATTGTTGTTAATAGTGATAGCTTTTAACAGGGGATAAGGATGGGCAGAAGACAGAGATGGAAGACAGAGGTGGAAGACAGACTCCTGTTCACTGTATAGGTATTTAATTATATAGTATAGTATATAGGGAACCACATATTCTCTTTCCCTTCTTAATGATTTCTGATGCTGGCAGACATTTAAAAACAATGTATCCAATATCAGATAAAACTCAACTATCTGGCAGCGGAAAGTGAACATCAATACTTCATTTACTTTAGTTCACAGTGTTAAAATGTAGAACAGGTAAATCCATGTTACTTACGCCTCAGTCTGCCTGTGTTGTTGTTCTTGAAGGCAAGCGAGATCCATCACATGCCTAATTTGTGCTTTCAAATCTTTGTTCTGGAGATGCAAATGGTGACAGTGAAGATCTTTTTTGAGTTCCTAAAGGAAAAAAAGGCAAAATATATTTTAGAATCTTTTAATATTAAATCAGTTTCAATAAAATTTATATTCATACCAATACTTTTCATTATTTTTGTATAATAAATGTTTAGAAACAATCTGTAAAATAAGAGTTCTGGTATAGATGGTTTAAAATATATAAGCAAGATCAGGTTTCAAGATTTCTCAGAAACTGAATGTTAGAAATTAAGGAATTTTGTATGATGACAGCTTTTTGGTCTATCCAATTTGTTCACAATGTGAAAATACATAAATATGGCCAGTTTTTGCTTAACTGTCACTACCCCAAAGAGGCTTTCTCTGAGTGTTATATTTAAAGATTAATACACTCCACCCCCTAATACTGTCAGAGCATTCATCAGTAACAACGTCATTTCTTTACAGTTTGTCTGTACCTGAACATATAGTTTACCACCAGGACAGGGACTGTGTCAGATTAGTTCAGTGTTACGGCATACGGCATCTGGGGTTGTGTGCAATAAAAATTTCTTGCCCGCATCCACCCTTGGTATAAGCTTCAACCTAGGTAAAAGTGTGAAAATATCTTTTGTAGGTTCCATTTTCCTAAGCCTGGGCTAACTGACCTTTAATCTGCCACCTAAAATTACTTGTCTTTCCTCAAATCTACTAAACCTTAAGCACAGACAACATTGGCTAAGTATTACACTCACTAAAGGATGAATGGATTTGCAACCCAATAACATTCTTAGAATCTTTAATTGGGAAAATTTTAGTCAGTAGAATGAAAAAGAATGAAACGTTCTAAACATTTTTAATGGCGAAGACAGCAACCCCATACTCAGGGGAGCTATGCCTAGAAACTTTCTCCTAGGGGTGATTTCCATATCCCCATAAACCCATAATCCATTTTAGCTTTAGCTTGCGAAAACAATGCAAAACATACTTCATATTTATTTAAGAATATTAAAATGAAGTCAGTTTTAATAAAACTCCTTCCCAACCTGCAGTTGACTCCTTGGTTTTCTAAAAGCTCAAAGCTGTTGTCTTTTCTTTTTAAAAATATTTCTTATGCCAGTGATAGGGACTACAACAGAGAAACAATGTCATTCTGTTTGTCTGAGATATATTAGGAGCCAGGATAATATAGTTAGAGCCCTGGCTGATTTGCCATATGATTTTAGAGATGGGCTTAACCTTAAAACAAATCCTAACTTAAGCCTAATATATGGCCTTTATAGAGATCAGTTTACTTGACTAAAATTTTAGAGGACATGATCCATTTATCTTCTTCTATCACTCTTCTTTTAAAGGGACAAGGCTTGATTGTATAATTACATTAGGCAATAATGGGTCTTGACTAGCTTGTTATCTTTGGAAAACTAAGTTTATAATTTGACTCTTTTGCCTTGAACACTAATAACTGACTCTGATTGGAAGAGCATGGCCTATTCTGGTCACTATAAGTAGGCTAGTATAAAGTATAAAGAGAAGTGATAGGTAAAACTTGGTAAGTGTTCAGATGCCAGACCATGCTTGGCCTGGTAAATCATAATAGAGAATTTCTTCCAGGGAGAAGGCACTGAAAAGCCGTAAGATGGGGGTTACCTTTTGAAAGCTCATTTCGGTGGCTATGTAGAACATGAGTCGCATGAAACCTGAACAAAAGCATGAAGATTAAATGTAGCAGTTGAATAATGGGGGGGATGGGGTGGAAGTCTGAATTAGGTTTGTGGCAGTAAGCCACAAAGTGTGTGGATAGATTTAGGGTGTTAAAAAGTAAATAATACAGAAGAGTATAGAGAAAATGGCACCAATTTGAAAGTCGGAAGTAATGAATCTCTGTCTAGAGTTGTGTGATGTTGAATTAGTCCCTTTATCAAGTTATGTCTCAGAATAGGAAATAATGGCTTCTAATTAGAAAATTATTTCAGTTGTGAAAATATCTGTAGCAAAAAGAACTGAAGGTAAGATTTGGGGGAAATGGGAATAAAAAGTTTTAATTTTAATATTTTTCACGCTACTTGTAATAAAGTTCCTAAAAACAAAGACTTAAAAATCAATTCTAGGTTCATATTCAGTTGTACAAAAGCCCTTCTTAAGAGAGTTCTTCAGAGCCTGAAAAGGGTAGGGGGAAGGAAGGGATAAAGAAAGATTTGTTAAAGGATACAGAATTATAGTTAGATAGGAAGAATAAGTTCCAGCATTCTCCCCTACTGTAGATGACTATAATTAACAATTATATATATTTTCAAATAGCTAGAGGGGGAAACTGAATGCTCCCAACACAAAGAAATGCTAAGTGTTTGGGCTCGGCATCTGTAGCACAGTGGTTATGGTGCCAGCCACAGACACTGAGGGTGGCGGGTTTGAACCAGGCCCAGTCCAGGTAAACAACTGCAACAAGAAAACAGCCAGGCATAAGTCCCAGCTACTTGGGAGGCTGAGGCAAAAGAATTGCTTAAGCCCAAGAGTTTGAGGTTGCTGTGAGCTGTGACACACCACAGCACTCTACTGAGGGAGACACAGTGAAACTGTCTCAAAAAAAAAAAAAGAAGAAATGCTAAGTGTTTGAGATGGATATGTTAATCATTCTGATCTAATCACCATGCATGATATGTATTGAAACATTTTGTGCCTCATGATTACGTATAATAATTATTTGTAAATTTAACAACTACAGGCCCAAACAAAAGAAAAACATAATTAAATTCAAGAAGGGAAGGAGGGGGAGGGGTATTTAGTAAGTTTCCACTTTTTGGGTACAATGTGGGGCTATAGAACACACTTCCTGTGTGAAAAACTCAACTATAGCTTGGACTTTACCTTACAAATAAGAATAATGTAACCTAATTTTATGTACCCTTATATTAACCTGAAATAAAAAAAAAATCCAACATATAAAAAATAAAATTAAACTTAAATAAGATAGTTCTAGAAGATATATTGCTAGAAAAATTAGATTTGATCATATTGAAAAATTTTAAAATTTACTAAAAATAATCCAAATAATATTAACTTTACAAACACTAATAAGTTGACAAAAAGCGAAAACAAATTAGTGGTAGTGATGATAATTAAAAGAATACTATGTCATTTTTTATATTGGGAGCTTTTGATAAATATGGGATAACAAAGGTGAACTAGTAAATTTCTACAATTGTTGACTTTTTTGCCTCTTTATTTTAATTTTTTGGGACAGTGTCTCACTATGTTGCCCTGGGTGGAGTGCCGTGGTGTCACAGCTCACACGGTAACCTCCAACTCTTGGGCTTAAGTGATTCTCCTGCCTTAGCCTCCCAAGTAGCTGGGACTATAGGCAGCTGCGACAACACCTGGCTATTTGCTGGGTTTGAACCTACCCACTGAGCTATAGGTGCTGAGCCATTTTTTGCCTCTTTAATAGTAAATAAGTTCTTAAGTACTTCCCAAGTTGGACTTGAGCTATAAAGAAGAATGTTACATGAACAAACATACTAAATTATAACATGAGCACGGTAAAAATTAAATCAGGCTCCTGAGAGGTGAAGACACCCTAGTAACATCTGAAAACTACATATATACATATTAAAATTTTTTTACGAATATACTTAATATCACTGAACTGTACAGCTGAATAGGGTGAGGTGACCACAAACCAAAAATTATTTTGGAACCTTCACGAGAAAGTTTCTGCCCACTAGAAGGGCTAAATAATCTATTAAAATATCATACCCATAAGTAATAATTAAAAAATGAAAGAAGCTCCAGTTATTTTTAAAGAAGGTCAAATTTTAATGTTAACAGAAATATTTGCAATTTTATATAGTTTAGAAAAAGATAATCTTAAGACTATGACTGTTTTTGGTATACATAGTCTCCAAATAACCAATTAAATAAGTGAAACAAACCAAAAAGTACTGTCAACATTCAACATCTGCTATCTATCTAAGAGAATCAGCTCTTGTACATTAAATGAGAAATACCAATTTGGCCAGGGTTATCAGGTGTTTTCTTTCAAAATACTTCATCCAGATATGGTTTCAGTATTCTTTAGGTACACTGGTAGAGAGCGCTACATTTTATGAGCCTCTGCATTTTTAGATGACAGGGATCTAGCATGGAAGTTTAGAAATTATCTTTTATAAGCCATCCTAGACAATACCTATTAGAATTCACTGATGAGTCATTGCTTTTTTTTTGCTTATGCCTTTTAAATCATTATATCATCTTAAAATGGATATAGTACTTTAAAAATGCTTTTGCCTTTTAAGGTAGATATTCTTAAAGTACTAATGAAAAGGCTTTAGGAAACTTAAATGACTTAATTAAAAATACACAAAATTGAATGAATGTGATCTTTTCGATCTCCATTTGAGATTAAAAAAATCTGCATAGCTTTGATTAGATTCTCAAAGACATCTATGATCCCCTCAAACAGTTGGAATCATTGTTCTGGAGGACAAACAGAAAATGTTCTATATGATGACGCTAACTTTGTTATCCTCCTTCTTTGTGCACCTTGTTTTGGCTACTGATGTTGTTGCTTAGACTATTAGTAAAATTCTATCAATCAACAATTACATTTTTTTTTAAGTGCTGTTAGGCCTTTGAATACAGTAGTTCATTTAAGCTCAGAATCTCTTAAATATATTTACAGGTGAGAATTTAAGACACTGATGTTAAATGGTTTGTCCAAAGTTACACAATTAATGTTAGAGTTGCTATTTAAAACAACTGTCAAGTAACAGAATTACCAAATACACTAACTTCAGCTTTTTGGGGGTGGAGGGGTGCAAGGGAATATTTAAAAATGCTTTACAAATTAAGTTTTACTACTGTAAAATATTACTAGAGTATACTGGCTAATATACTTTTAATAAGAGATTCTGATGATTTTCAGAATGACTGAGGTATAAATCAAATTCTGGACTGATACTCAATAAATCTCAACACTAAGGAACTATTTGTCTTATATTTTCTTCTTAGGAAACAGGTTACCTACTGCTTGCTGCTCCCTTATAACTCTGAACTGTCATCATTGACTTCCATTGCTATTCTCTTCTCTCTAGTCATGTCTGAGCTTTAATAATAATAAGATAACCACTTACAACCACTGCTAGACAAACAAAGAGTCCATTCTCTCTTTTTTTTTCTTTTTGATAGAGTCTCAAACTGTGGCCCTGGGTAGAGTGCCGTGGCGTCACAGCTCATAGCAACAACAAACTCTTGGGCTTAAGCGATTCCCTTGCCTCAGCCTCCCAAGTAGCTGGGACTATAGGCATCCACCACAATGCCCAGCTATTTTTTTTTGTTATTGTTGTAATTGTCATTGTTGCTTTAGCTGGCCCCGCCAGGTTCAAATCCACCAGCCTTGGTTTATGTGGCTGGCGCTGTAACCACTGTACTACAGGCAGTGAGCCAGAGCCCATTCTCTTAATAATGATGCTTTGGCTAATATCTGCAAATATTAAGGATCACTAGCATTTGTTACTAAATATTTCACATACTCTTTCATCTATTTTCAGTCTGGTACGCTCTTCTAGAAATGTGAAGATTTTAGAAGGCTAAATATTAATTAGCTGATAAACAGTAACAGAATTTCAGAAGCACAGCACCAAAGTAAAGATTTTAGTTGTTTCTCATTTTAGAAAAAAATTGAAAAGTTGTTCTTTTAAAGTAGTAGATATTTGGATGAAGTTGTTACTTTCTAGTTACTGTTAGCTGCTTCTCCCATATTCATTTTCTTCTAATTTTGTTCAGGGTGATTATACAAAAGAAACCAACCAACCAAAGAAAGGAAAAAAAAAGGCACTTTTCCAGACTTCAACACTCCCTTGTACCCAGGGCTAGCCATTTGACATAATTCTAGCCAACTGATGGTCTGCTATGAATTTTTTAAAAATCTTTGTTCTCCTGATACAGATATCACTTTTCCCTTTCTTTTCTCTTTTTCTAGCCTAGGGGTAAACTTGAGACTAGAGATGAAATAATAAATTATGATCATGAAATGACAAGCATGATGAAAATATTGATAACATTTTGGAAGTATTAAATTACCAATGAACTACCTTACTGTAGATTACTGTAACTTTCTAGGAGAACACAATTCTAACATAATACAGTGATTAGTTATCATTACTCATCCCTGCATTTTGCAAATGTAACTGTTTGCCATTCTAAGTTGGCATGTCTTCAGTTAAACACAAAAATCTTTCAAATCAACTTTCTTTAGCCACAATACAATAGAGACCACATTTAAAACTATTTCTGCACAAAATATCAAGATTTAAAACAAATTACCTACCTGATGAATCCTCAAGATTACTTTGAAACAGAATTAAAGAACTGCTACATAAAAGGATGCAATCACGTAAGATTAGTAAAATTTAAAAGTAACTTACTCTTGTAAAAGTACAGAAAACATAAATCAAGTAGGTTATTTGCAAATGGAAGGTATATTCAATTAATTAACAACAAAATGAAATAATTAAATCTCAGAGACATGGGCAATAGTTGTCATATTAAAGATATTTACTCAGTTAAAAAGTTAATGGGTTTTAAGGGCTCAGTTCTTACAAAATTACATCTAAACACACAAACGCATGTGTACCTTTGGAATATGACCATTTTGGCCTAAGAGTTTCATTTCATTTTCCACGCGACAGAGCCAATTAGTATTTGCATCAAATTGCTTCAGCTCCTCCTCCCTCTTTTTCTCCAGGTAGCAGCGACGAGTTTTTAACATTGCAAGTCTATGATCTCGCTTGCAAGTGGCCTGAATAAAACACAATTTATTTAACAGAAAACCTGATTTTTATCTTTGATGTGATATTAATAAGCTAGTATATTTTCTTACAGGTGTTACTGTAGTCAATCAAGTTAGACTATACTTTTATATTCAAATACATTTCCTTTTTGAAGCTTCACAAAAATAGTGTTTATAGGAAAACAGAAAATTGAGTTATAAATCATTTTTATAAAATTACATGTTGAGAATTTATGGCTTTCAGAAATATAATAACCAAATTGTAGACTATAATAGCCCTGTGTGTTCATGTGTGCACTAAAATACTTTCCTTTCAGTATGCTGTATTTGAAAAGTTCATACCAGGTCAGATAAATTCCGTGATCTTATTTAAAATCAAAGCAGATGTATAACCTGCTCTGTCTTTTCTCCAGTTTGAAAGGTGTGAAGAAATAAAGTGATTTATTGATCTTTGTTTGCTAATAAAATGATAGAAAAGAGATCTTATATTGCAGTGCTTATCAGTATCTGATCTCGCCTGTTGAATGGTTCAGGACCTATCATGGATATTCTGAATATTTTTGCAATTTTACTTAGGCACAAACTGAGATTCAAACTAGTCTTTTGTTTTCTTACCCTAAGGAGTCTTAAACACTATCATGGAAACATGGGCCAGAATATCTTGAACTGTCTGGGCTATTTGCCAATAGACACTAAATTCAATAATTATCAGACTTGATGGGTATATCTGAAATAAATCCCCATAGATTAGAACAAGTTTTGGAGGCAGGGTACTAAAAAAAGAAAAATAGCAGGAACTAGATATAAACTTCATCAAAAACCACATCCTCTTTGGGAGATAAATATCTTTTTCTTAATTACTTTTATAAAAGATGTATTATTGACATTTGGAACATACAACCAAAAACATGGTTATCTTCATTAGGATATACATGAGCCTATGAAAGATTTAAGATCAGGAAAGGTAAAGATAGCTATCATGATGCCACAACCAAATCCTAGATATCCATAAAATTTCACTTGACTTTCCTTTCAAGGGAAATATAGGGGTCAGGGAGAAGGGGACGAAGGAAAAATGGTTGTTAGACACTGTCATTCTTGCCAAGGCTTTTGACTATTTATTGTTGTTTCTCTCGTTAATTATATGTCAGTCACTGTTTCTCAAGTTAAGACATTAACGAAAACAAAACAAAACCCCTCAAAAAAAAAAAAATAAAAGGCTGGGTGATTAAAAGGCTAAAACAAAACAAACCGTAACCTATCAAACTGATTAGAATGTTAGGAAGAAAACTGTGACAGAACGCTACAATGCAAGGTTCTCCAAATGTGCTATAGGATTCCTAAGGATCTCAGACACTAAGGTCAAAAACATTTTTACAATACACTAAAAAGTTATTAGCCTTTTGTATTCTTATTCGCTCATATATTTAAGTTTGCTGTAAAATTTTCCAGAGGGTAAATGATACGTAGTATTACAACACTATGTCTAACAAAGATGTAGATATGAGAATACAGTTGATGTAAAAAGTCAGTCATTAAATTTGCAAAAATTTAGAACAATGTCACTCTTCCTCCTATTTGTTTTAGAAAATTAGCTATTTTTCATAAAAATGTTATTTATGTAATCATACAATAAGTTGGTTTTAAATGAATATATAAATGTATTTTTGTAAATCTGTTTTAATTTCTAATATAACAATATTGACAGAGGGAATCCATATAAAGAAAATCTCTTTGAAGTTCTAAATAAATTGGAAAGGGGACCTGAAACTTGAACTTTAGATTCAGTGCTATAACAGAAGGTGGAGGCTGTCATTTCTTGACTTTTTTATGTGATGTGGCAGGTGTGAAAATTTAGGCAAGTCAATCTCAGTGGTTCTTTGAGTCACAATATATGAAAAATGAAGATGAAAATATTGGATCTGCCAGAAGGCAGACAACTAAATTATCTTTATTTTGCTTTAATATTTAAACGAATTATTGTGGGGACTCTTAGAAACTAGGACAGGAAATGATCTGTAGGTCTGATTGCAATAGCATTTAATACAGAAAATCTTAACTAAAAATGCCAAAAGGTCTGTTTTCAACTTTTTACTTCTACATGTCTATCAAGCCGGGTGCTGTGGCTCATGCCTGTAATACTAGCATTTTGGGAGGCTGAGGTGGATAGAATGCTTGAGCTCATGAGTTTGATATCAGCCTGAGCAAGAGCAAAATGCCATCTCTACCAAAAATAGAATAGAAAAACTGAGGCAAGAGGATTGCTTGAGCCCAAGAGTTGGAGGTTGCTGTGAGCTATAATGACACTATGGTACTCTACCAGGGCGACAGCTTGAGACTGGGTCTCAAAAAAAAAAAAAAGCTACCAAATGTATCCTTTATGATGATTCTAGACGAGGACATTTTCCATCAGCTTACTTCTATTGAGCTATTGCTCTGAAATGAATTCCAAAATGTGCATGTGAAACCCTGACATTATAGTGAAATGTTTCCCATTGAGGTTTCAGAAAAGCTTTGTATAGTTAACAAAATCCCCAGAAGACCACAAAAGTCTTAAGAGAGAACAACCTGTAATTCTAAAATTTTTGTTGTTTTTTGAGACAGTTTTACTCTGTTTCCCTGGGTAGAGAGTACCGTGGCATCATCATAGCTTGCAGCAACTTCAAACTCCTGGGCTAAAGTGATCTTGCCTCAGCTTCAAAAGTAGCTGGGAGTCCACCACTAGGCCCAGCTAGTTTTTCTATTATTAGTAGAGATGGGGTCTTGCTCTTGCTCAGGCTGGTCTTGAACTCCTGAGCTCAAGCAACCCACCCACCGCGGCCTCCCAGGGTTCTAGTATAATTCTAAAATTTTAGGTGTTACTAATGCTTTGTGGAAAAGGACTGCTAATACTTTTTCATTAAAAATAATCTTACAGATTATTGAAATGGCCATAAATCTACCCAGGAGCTTCACTTTCATTCTGATTTCAGAGTTCATATTCCAGAACTATTTTATAGGTGAATCAATGTTATGAGATTCTTTTAGCACCTCTGTCAATAAACCTCTTTTGGAAAGGGCCCAAAACTTATAAACATTCCTTGTCTTAGGAAGCAGTTTGGTTAGACTACGGTTTGAAAGTTCTTTGTAAAAACAAAACAAAACAAAACAATTCAAATCAGAGGCATCCAACCTACGACCCACAGGCTGCTTATAGATTATTTGAGGACTGTTTTGCCTATCTGTATCTCATAGAGTATGCCAGGACATTTTCATTACTTTTTGTTAGTGTTATTGTATTTAACATGTGGCCCAAGACAACTCTCATACTTTTCAATGTATGGCAGAAAAGGAAAAAGGCTGGACACCCCTGCAAGATGTTTTCCTATTTTTCTCCAATGGCTTTAATCAATATTCGTTTTTCATCTCCATTGTTTACCTATTCTCATAAGAACAGCTATAAAACCTGGGACTATGTGGCCTCAAATGAACACAAGTAGGAGACTATAAAAGGCAACTAAGTTTGAAAAAAGGTTAGGATACTGAGTAAAAGAATAAAGATGGAAACAGAAAAACAAGAAAAAGAAACCAGTCAAACTCATTCCACTACTCTACTATCATCCTAGACACCCACATTCAAAATTCACTGGGGAAATTAAGACAGAGTAAAATAACAATCATCGAAATTAGTTTGAGGAATCAAATAGACCAAGCTTATTAACTGTACTAAATTAATAATATTCAAATTTTTTAAAAAGGGTACTGTCATTCTAAACTCTGGTAATGCTTTGAAGACTGCTTTCAGCTACAAAAAATAAGATTTTAATGTTGGCAACCAACATTTTTACAATCTGTCTCACTATTCTATCTTTCTTATTTATTGTCAGTAATTCCCAATATAACAAATAGGTCTTATTTATATAATGTGCCAATACTAATCCATCCACAGTGGTTAGCTCTGGCTACTTGCAGATTCAGTGAAAGTGTACGGTGATTGATCGATGATATCTGCTATAGATAAGGGAGTGGGAATTGGTAGGGAATTTTGAATGATATTGTCCTATATCATATTGTCCTACAAATAATGCTCTGCTCTGGTCAAACTGATATCCTATCTTAACTACATTGTATTTGTTTGCAGTACTCCCATTGACATTCTCATGCAAGGTTCAGTACACATTTCATCTTTCCAGCAAGAAGCCTTTTGTAATCACAACAGGAAGGCACTGTTTTCTCTTCTGAATAGTTATAGCATTTATAGTATAGCAACGTGTTTAAGAGTGCAAACTCTGAAGGCAGACAGCTGAAGTTTAATAATGGTTCTGCCACATTATTAGCTAATAACTCCATTCAAATGACTTGAATTTTCAATGCCTCCATTCCTCACAAATGGTAATACTATTGGATCTATCTCAGAGGCCTGAAATAGTAATCTCAGAAATATTATCTACGCAAAGAATCTTGAAAAAATGTCTAATACATAGTATTCAATAATATTACCTGTTTTTATTACTAGTACTTACATGATAATCATACAGTGTGCTGTAATTTTTATTATTTTATTGCTCCAACTAAAATGTAAATAATCGAAAGGCATATGCCATCTCATACTTTTCTTTACCTCTACTGTGTCTAGCACAAGCCTTTACATATAAACTAAACTGTTCAGTAAGAGTTTAAATGTTGAGATACTAAGCCAGTATCAGCTTCCCAGGACTACATTTCTTGTCTTTTGTCAAAAAGTAAGTTAGGTAACTGTACGTTAAAAAAATTGACAGGTATTTACCGGTTATCTACATAAAATTGAAAAGAATTATTATTTCCATAGAAAACTATAAGAAGGGCTAATAATTACAATAAAATGTATAATTATTATAATATATGAAGACTTGACTATTAATTAAGTTCATGAACTCATCCTAGAAGAAGGGTTACATACCTCACTGCTGAATATCATTATGCTCACATTCAAATTACTCCCCTTGGAAGGTATGCACCCATGCCAGTGCCTCATTTACTCCTCAAAGCACATCTGGAACTCTTTTAGAATGACCATCAGGACTGTCATTGTACCGGGCTGACAATTAAGTTTGTGAACTTGCCACCATGTGCTTTCAATGGCAGCACTGTACAAACTCAGTAAGGTTTCAGGATGCTGGCAAATCAGTGTCTCATAGCTGTGTTCAGGTCAACATGTGGCAGTATCTTGCTGAGTAGAATGTATCATTGTTGCATGTTTTTGTGTGCCATACAATGACAGCTTTGATGGCCATTACCAAAAAAGAGTTCTAAAATTATTTTGAAGGGTGGGCTAAGGTAGGCACTGACATTGGTGCATAGTTTTCCAAGGGGGTTAATTAGAAGATGATCACAGTGAAATTCAGTGAGGTATGTAGCACTTTTTCTAGGATGAATTTGCAAACTTAATTGTCAGACCATGCATAAGATGGTAGTATTTGAAAAATTCATAAGCACATGAAAGGGGTTCACAACAATAAATTGATAAATTAATCCTATGAGATATCCTGTTAGTTGGAAGCCACTAACATTTATCAAAAAATACTGGTAACAATTTTGCATTTCAAGAAGGTTAAAGTACAAACATAGCAGGAAAAAATAAAATCAAAGATCTAAATTTAGTTTCTTTTCTGCCTTAAGAGAATGTAACATTTTAGATGCATCATGAAAAACAAAATTAAGAAGAAATTTTCAATAATATATAACGAATAAAAAACAATTGGTAGGTAGTAATCTTGATAGTATAATTTAATAGCTACTGATAAAGTGGTATCAATGATACATTAGTAAATGCTTTATAATTTTTAGTATATTATCTTTCCCATTTTATAAGCTATAAAAATGAAATGGCAGTTTTTTAAGTGCTCTAAGATTTGATGGTTCTTGAACATTAAGAAATAAAACATTTTTAAACAATAGTTAATTCTGTGAAGGTGGGAAAAAAAAGACATGTTTAAGGTGGAAATCTTAGAGGACTAAGTACTTACTTATAAGATAAAGTTTTAAAATGAGTAAAATACAAATACATCCTATGTATGTATCACCTGTGCAATTACATTACATAAAATAGATGCAACAATTAAATTAAATCAGTAAACATCAAAGTTGTGAGGAATAATTATCCAATATTTTCCAAATGCTTATTCTTAGGAATCTTTGGAGATCTGTATCTCCACATGTCTAAGTATATATTTATTTTATACCGCTCAGAACTCAAACTTCTTCAATTAGCATCTAACTGGCCCTTGAAAATATTAGCCGTAAGTTTTTGCATATTGCCCTTTCTCCTTAAATATCTTCTGGAATGAATATTAGATAAATACATTCATAATTTTTTCTTATTACATTTTGTTCATATAGGTTATCTCTATGCTGCATTTGGTACAATTTTCTCAAATCTATCTCCCAGTTCCTTAATTCCCTCTTAACCTGTCACCTAACATGCAAAAAAAGTATAGGGATAAGAGCATAGGCTTTATATATTTTTTTATTAAATCATAAATGTGTATACTGATGCATTTATGGGGTTCAGTGTAATGATTTGATATACAATGTGAAATGCTTACATTGAACTGATTAACACATCCATCACTTAGTTTAAACTTATTTGCTGTGGTAAGACAATTATACTCTTTTTTGAAATGTACCATTGCATTATGCACATTAGGTGAGGTCCCCCCAGATACCCTCCCTCCTCCTGGCCTTTTCATCCCCTCCCAAGAGCACAGGCTTTAAAAATAGCTTGCCTGAGTTTAAACCATAGCTCAGCCACTTATGAGCTATGGGATCTTGGGCAAAATGACTTACTTGTGCTTTTGATTTTCTTGATTATGAGGATAATATTATGAAATATCTTTTAAGTTTTTCTGAGAATTAAATTATATCTATAAAGTGAGTTTTAAATAGAAGTTTCATGTATTTTTCCTTATATCTAGATGTACTTTTCCTGGTGTCTTAAACTTTGGTTTCTTTATCATTCATTCTTCTACAACTTTGTTCATTTTATAGTTTTTACCAGATTGCTTTAGAATCTTAATTTTTTAGGGGTTCTGTCTAATTTGCTAAGTCTACTGATTCTTGTCAGGGAGGATTATTTCTCCATGGGTTGTATAATTTCAGACTATGAGTTCACTAGTGGCTAGAATTGAGTGTCTTTTTCTCTAGCCTGGGTTTGCATTGCTTCTGCCACTTTTTCTAGTGGTTTCACGCCTTTGATTCTATTTAGTATATTAATTTCTCAACTTTAGGTGTTTTCCAATCAAAATACATGAGTTGTAATAATTTAAACTTCAATCATTGTGAAAAGTATACCTGTGGGGACAGTCTTAAGTGAGACAATTGGTGTTAGTTGGAAAGATTTTTCTTTTCTAGTATACCTCAAGCATGAAAAATACAGACCTTGGAATTTCCTGACTTTATAAGAAGCTCTCATTTCTAACTTACTGTTTCCCTTGTGTTTCTTGCTCGAATAATGGCGTACATCAAAAACAGATGTGGGAGTGGTCTGTGTGTATGGAGGCAACAGGGCCAGTACACTATTGTATTTGAAAACAATAATAAAACTGATTAAAACTTGGCCTGCTCTGTATCAGGACCACACACTAGCACACCTAATAATATTACTGAGAAAATTCTTCCCTGAAAAAAAAAATTCTGATTGGTTTAAGTTGAAGACCATTGCCTACATCTGGGATAGACTGTTCCTACTATGCTATCTTTGGTAAATACTCTCCGTGATTGTATGAACTTCAAGTTAAGATTCCATATACCATCAGTAAAATAACAGTTGAAATGAAAATTTTTTTGTGGGGGAGGTTCATTTTGTTTCTTACACCCAGGAATTTAAATTTCTTTCTTGTACATTTAATTATGCCTTTAAAACAATGTTTGTTACATTTTCTCCAGTATTTCCAGGTGTTTGTAGAGAATAAGTAACCCTGCTTATTAGATTTCTAGAATTAAAAGTCCCATGTTTTTGAAACTGAATTATACAATTGTTAAATACCTTTTCTACTCTGTCTTCAGAACACATCATTTCTATTTGTTTATGGCACTGTTGTTGATAGAATGATTTAAGTTCATTTTCTTTAAGTAACATTTCTAGCTTCAGATATTCTTGTCTGATTTCTTCTCGATTCTGGAACAAGCAGTTCAGAATTTCTTGAAATCTATCAAAAATAGAATATGTTATAGAATCTCAGTAATTTTGTGATAAATCATACAAAGTTTACTTAAAGAATATAAGTAAAATTACACAAAATTATATTCAATGATAAACAGCAAGTAGGTTGAACATTTTCTACTATAAAAATGCATTGAAAAAGTTATTAACTTTATTTCTACTACTTAGGTTTTTCTCTCTCAAGGAAGATATTATGGAAAATATAGGCATTATAAGCCCCCTGGTATTTGTAATATACTGAATTTTGTCTATGTTTACATTTGGTATGTTATTAAATTATTTAGCAAAAATAAAATATTTTATATTTATATGAAAAGGACAATAACCTGTACCCGCACTATCTCATTTACAAGGCCACAGCACAGCATTATGTGCTGTTTTGGTGTTGGCTCATTGTGAGGAAATGAACAGTAGGAGGCATAATCATATGGTTCCTCCATAACCCCCTAGGGAAAGTGAGAGAGCCAGGTTTTAGCTTCAGAATTTGTTATAATGAAAACACACCATACGGTTAGGTACCCCCTACAGCCTGGCTAGAAGTCAACTGACACTGTCAGGACCCAAAATGTCCAAGTTTAAAATGTGGTAAACCATAGAAGAGCTGTTACAGTGTGCTTACTCCAAAGGGAAGCATAGCTCTAGAAAATCCAAGTTGAGGACTTGATTCAGATCTCCAAATGCACAAAGACATCAAGCTTATTAAATTCTACAAAAACTCTGGATGGAACCTACAATCCTGCATGCTTTGGAGCCAGCAGAACATTGGTCCCAGTGATAGTTTCACTTTATAAAAATATATATGCATTTTTAAGTTACAGATCTGCTTTGAGCTACAATAACAGTATAAACAGTCACAAATAGGCAAAAATCTCAAAGAAAAGTCAACTGTGAAAAATAAAATAAAATCAAGCATATGCATTTAAAAATAAATGTTCTTTGGCCAGAAATTTAAGATATATTTGTAAGGACTGGTGTTAAAAACACTGCCAATTTACGTCAGTAGCTCTTAATGAAACTCTGTTGGCAATGAATACAAGCCACAATACATTGACTTTACTGTAGTTTTTGTCCAAGTAATAAATATTTCATAGGAAATATGCACAAACATTGCAATTTCATTGTATTATGTTACACCAACGCTAATGCCAGTAAATGAATTGATAAGTTATCTTTAGGTTATACCCAAAGATAATTTTTTAGTTTTCTGTAACTTTTTATCAAGGACAAAGATAAATATTTATCAATTTTGTGGTCCAGACTTATTTTAGTTTGTGGTATTTACTGATTAGGATAGGAGGAAGGGAATAGGTATCAAAGGTCTCTAGAGAGCTACTTTTCATAAAAGTATTATTTTAAAACAGAAAGAGTCCTAAAAAAATGTTCAAATGGAAAAAAAAAAAACCTACACCAATATTTTAAGATGATACATAATGAATATTAAGTGCTATACTATTTTCTTGCCATAGTCCCTTAATTTTCAAGAAACTTCCATTAAGAAAGAGATAATTTGGTTGTATGGGAACAACTCCCATGTTTGACCAACAAAATGAAAACAACAATAATAATTTAGGAGAATTAAAGCTGTCTTTGATAAGACTAAATAACAAGGCATCACCTCTCACTTTTACTTAAGACATTTTTTAAAAGACGCTGAAAAATTGGTGGGAAATAATTAGAAACACTGTAAGACTAATAAAATATAACAACAATTTTATCTTGAATTGTACTGTTAGAATTAAGAGAAAATAAACATATCAGAAAATCTCCAGTGTAAACTGAGCTCTTTCCTTATAATAACATATAGATCAACCGTATGCTGTATGAAAAACAGATTCATTGACGTTGAATCAGTAATTACTTCTTATAATTGTAAAGTAGCATATATGTGAACTGACAACTTAAGACTTGAAAGATGTGATAGTTCACGCCATTATCACAAATGATCAAACACTATTTCCCTTAATATTATTTCAAAGGATTGTTGTACTGATCAGATAAAATATGGGAATAAAAATCATCAAAAAGTACAAGGCCACATATAAAAATAAACGAGAAGTAGTTATCTGAGCATGTGGGTAAATTAAGGCAGAACAAAATTATTATTTTTTTCCAAATTAGGGATTTTTCATGTAAAACATGCAATTTAAATAAGTTGTAGCTGAATCTAGGTGAAAGCTACCGCAGACTAGAGGACTCCTGTTTTCCTTTTAGGTACCAAAACACTTTTAACAAATTCTAGAGCTCCAAAACAGTGAAATACTCATTGCTTTAAGCTGGAGTTGGTTTCTTATATTAGTAACAGACATAATTGGCTCTGAAGAATGTCAAATATGCTTAACTTTACTTAACTTTAATCAAAGTTGAACAGATTCCTTTACTATAGGGATTCTCCAAGGCTTTAATATGCTAATGTACTTGGTTTCCTAAAGCATGGACTAATTCCCAAACTTGTTAGATCTAGGAATTCCTTACTGTTTTCCTAGAACTATTCAAGATTAATGTATCTTAATCCAGTACTTGCTTTATTGTGATATTCACCTTACGGCAATGGTTTAAACCTAATCTGCATTATCTCCAAATTATGACAGTGTATATCTATATTTATTTATACATCATTATAACAAATGATAATTAACATAAAATATTTGACTAGATTTTTAAAGCAATAAATTCCTCAAAATAAGATCTTAATGTCATTTTTACCTTTCTATTTCTTTTTCCTGTGGGTTTGAAATCATTACGTTTGCTTTGTCATTTTCATTAGGAAAGGCTTTCTGTTCTTCATAGGCTTTTAGTTTTTCCTTCAGCAATAAAATCTAGTGGAGATAAAACACAAGTTAAAATACAAAAGCAGCTATTTGCCTTCATTTTACATGGCCCCAGCAAAATTCCAGCTGTGAAAAATAACTGAATTAATCAGATTTCACGGAATATGAAAACACAGTAAATTTTTGGACAATGAAGATTATGATATCCTATAAATGAGAAACTAAGGGAGAGTAGTATAAAAATGTAAACAAGAAACATACCTCGGCCTTCTGCTCATTACATATCTTTACATACTGAGTTATATGATTGTCGAGGTTAAGAACATTGCTCTTCAACTGTTGAAAGATAGAAATTATAATTGTATATATGGAGATAATTACATATGAATTATTATGATGATAATCACATTATGAATCATACATGAACAAAATGGCATGATATCTTTATTAATTCAGTTCCATGAATTCAGAATTTGTCACAGTTATGATTATAAGACTATGATAATTATGTTCAGGTTTAAAATATTTAAAATCTATAAGAACATTTGCTGAATGCTTTAGTAACATAAATGAAATTATAAATTACCTCAGAAAAAATACTTTTTTTTTGAGACAGAGCCTCAAGCTATCCCCCTGGGTAGAGTGCCATGGCATCACGCTCACAGCAACCTCCAACTCCTGGGTTCAAGCGAGTCTCCTGCCTCAGCCTCCCAAGTAGCTGGGACTACAGGCGCCTGCCACAACGCCTGGCCATTTTTTGGTTGCAGCCATCATTGTTGTTTGGTGGGCCCGGGCTGGGGATTTGAACCCGCCACCTTGGGTGTACGTGGCTGGCGCCTTAGCGGCTTGAGCCACAGGCGCTGAGCCAGAAAAAATACTTTTAAGCATTAATTCACAATATAGTAAAAATTCTGTTTTCTGTTTCCTCTAACTTTTAAGAAATTCAGAAATAATTTTATGTTCTATCCATTCATGAGTTCAACTACTTTTTACGGAGTTCTTATTACATTTTACCTTTTTAAATAATAATGTATAAGATATACATTAAAGACTAACTCACAAATGACTCAAAAGAAATCACTATTTGTATACTGGTCCCTCGGTATATATGGAATGGCAGAGAGAACATTAAACATCTAACTTTAAATACATGATTATCAAAGGTCCTGCTCATCTCTCACCTACCTAATTTAGGATAACTCTCTGAGCCTTGGTTTACTTGGGTTACTCAGCTGTAAAATAGAACTAAAAGTACTTTCCTCAATGGGTTTGTTAGGAATTACATGAAAAACAAGTGTGAAAAACCCACATAAAAGTATATATGAATAGTTCTCTGGAGAAGACAATAACCTGCTCATCTTCAGGTACTTAATGGAAGTAGCAGAGGGGAAAGGGAGAAGAGGAAGAGACATCACATCACTTTAACTTTAGGTTTCTTCAAACCCTAAGATGTTAAAATTTCAAACATGCATCATGTGTTTAAAGTGCTGTAAACTTCTGGCAAAAATGCTGACTTAACCAATAATTATTAATGTTATTTCTAGAGATACATGCAGATTGATATAGAAACATCAAGAATATGGAAATAGGGTGTTCTTACTGAATTGGCAAGGGGTGGAGGTGTTTGGCACACATTTTGTGTGTGGGACATAATGACAAGAGGGACTCTACCTAATAAAATCAAATATTTTGACCTGGTTCTTTGTACCCTGACATTAACCTGAAATAAATTTACTTTAGAAAAAATAAAAAAAAAAGCATATGGAAACAAATTATTTAGAAAAGACTATTCACTTCATAAACTGGGGTACATATCACAACTTTACACGTAAGTAAATGAGGCTTGGAAAGAATAACTCACACATCAAGATTTTCATGTTGAAAAGTGTTGGTGCTCACCTAAGCAGAGAACCTATTTAAACATTCAACTGTTCAATTAACTAGATTACCAAAGACATTTCTAACCTCTAGCTGCCTAACTTAGTAGAAATACAACCTTAATTAACAATTTCATTAGAATTATAAGAATCATATGCACCTAACACCTTAACAAGGGAAGAATAGACACACTTACAGATGATTTAATGTCCTTCGCGCGGTTAGCATACTTAAGAGTATTATATGTGTCATCGTAGAATATAGAGGAAGGACTAACAGCAGCTATCATTATAGTTTGACAGTTTCCTCCAAGAGAATCCTTTAACAAGCGAGTAAGCTTACTATTTCTGTAAGGAATATGCTGATTCTTTCTCTGAAAGAACAAAAAAAGAATTCTTATGTCATTTTCCACATTTAAATGCAAACCTGCTACCACTTCACTATAAGAATTACAACTTTGCCCAGACTTATGATATAATTGGTGATTGAAATAATATTATAGAATTAGTCAGTGAATAATCCTATAAAACAAATATCCTATTTAAAAATTACCTCCATCTCAATATGTACGAACTTTAGTTTATAATAAATAATGTCTCAATATTGGTTTATTAGTTGTGACATAGGCACCATATTAATGTGAAAAATTACCAATAGGGGAAACTAAGTATGGGGTATATTTAATGAAATCTTTCTGTATTACTTTAGTAACATTCCTATAAATCTAAAACTACTTGAAAATGTCTATTTAAAAATATCTATTTAAAAATATTTCCATTAATTTAAAAAAGTAAAAAAGTAAACAAATATATACCTTATGCAAATATTCTGTAGTAGTAATAATTCTGCATGGCATAGAATTTGTTCTCTCCTTAACTATCTCACATGGATATGAAAAAAATTGTAGTTACAATGTTACAGATAATTCATCTAAAAATACCAAGCGTTTTAAAAGAATTTAATTTTTCAAGATTTTCTTTTACTTAAAGATGTATCTGACTTTAAAGTAACAAACAAATTTTCTAAGAAGTTCAACTTTTATACAAAAACAGATTCACTTTAATGGTAAGTGGAAAGCAACTTTGTGTTGTCCAGTGTTTATCTTTTATGTTATAGAAGATAAAATTGAAGCTAAGCAAAAGGTTGAATGACTTGCCTCGGGTCACATCGCTGCTAATTCACAGAGCTAGAAATAGGTCCTAGGTCCCCTCAGCTCTTTGTAGCAATGAGCTTTCCACCATGGCAGTCTTTCTCAAATAGCATGGAATGTGCACTGTTGGTGCTACTTGAAATGATTTTACATGTATAAGATATTCATTAAATACTGACTCACATATGACTCAATAGAAACCATTATTAAAATATTAAGTATTAGTATACATGGCAAAAATTCTATGAATGACTGAAGTTTACAAAAGCAGTCTCTATATCATGCTGTCTGCCTATACATTTGAGATTTTAACTTAGATTGCAAAAGACATCTTGCTTTTGCAATCTTCAAGTGATTTCAGTTAGTATCATTTTTGAAAAAGATTTTCCCCACTCATTTTAATAAACTTTATTCTAAATTAAAAGCTAACATTTTGAACTAGCTTAACAGTCATTTTCCTAAACCTTCTGACAGGTTTAGGTCAAAGGTGAAACCTTTTGACCGGTTAAAATTGGTTTAACTTCAATTACCATATTAACATTTTTTAAAAAGTCATTTTTACAAATATATGATTTTCAAATACGCTGTGTGCTGTATAGGTACTTCTGGCATATGGTACAAGTAAAACATTTTTTTTTCTTTTCCCAGTGTTTGGCCGGGGCTGGGTTTGAACCCACCACCTCCGGCATATGGGGCCAGTGTCCTACTCCTTTGAGCCACAGGTGCTGCCCTAAGTAAAACATTTTTTAAATGTTTCCAAAGCACCTAGGAAAAATTATACTATTAGGTGATTTCATTACATTTTATATCTTAAAACTCTCCTTAAAAAAAAAACTCTTTAATAATTAACCCAATTTTATAATGTATAAAATACTAACCTGAACAGAATTTAGTTTTTCAAAAACATGTTTTTTTGTCTTCATGCCAATTCAATTATTATGCTTGCTGTGTAGTGATCATTAAATGGTCACGTTAAAAACCAAGTTCAAAACATGTGATGAAAATGCATCATATATTATTTAACCAATTCTTATTATAAAATTGGAAATTAAAAAACAAAAATCACAGTTTTATTTAAAAGACTAGGCTCTCTGAGGTCTTTGATCTGAATATAAACATTATTAATATACTCCTAAAATTTTTAATAACAAAATTATATTAAACAGTATCTTTCTAGGAAGTATATATTTCAATATTTCAAAATATTTAACAAATGATTACAAAATACAATACCTACCTTTGTATCTGCTAATGCATTGATGACATTTCCGAGCGCTAAAAGTGATCTATTAATATTTGTGCCTTCTACAAACCGGGTCCCCTTAGCACTAGTACTACTGGCACGTTCAGACCCTGCCAGGTCAATGAGTGACATCTTGGCAATATGGACATTTTGATTGATACTTGCTGTTTTGTCTTGTTGTCGCAAATAAATCTTTTTGAAATTACAGAATAGGAAAAAAAGAGATAAGATTTAAGATAATTAAAAGAGAAACACATCTTATTTTTAAAAGAATAAAATCCAAAATTATTTTCATTTAAAAAGCCAACTAAATAAGGTATAATCTAACTGATATTTAAGAGTACTGGAAATAATCACCAAAGCTGAAAAAAGCTAAAAATAAAAAGACTTTCTATATATGTACCAGAGGAAAAATAACTCTTGATCTAATAGGTGAAAATAACTGCTATTTGTATTCTCATACTCCTTGACCTAGAACATGGAATTATTAACAGAGATGATGATGGAGGGCACAGATCCTAAAGAAACTGTGTTCTTAAGAGAAAATCAAAGATAGTGGTCAAAATGCTTTGCATAGCTCCAGAAATTGCCCCTTAAGAAAAGCTGAATTTGAATCTTGACCCACACTGAAAAGTAAATGTATTCTAATCCTCTGAACTCTTTTATGTTCTTATTAATTAAGAAAATATTATATATAAAAATGGCATTATTAGGACACATCACTTAACAAGTACTTCTGGGAAATATGTATATATGTGATTTTGTTGTTGTGTGAAGATTACAAATCTAGCACAGGAGAAAAGGATCCAGTCAAGAGATTGTGTAAACAGAATGGATGTCAGTGTAATATGGCATGACATTTTTACATTTTCCTTTTTTATAAGTGGAGTATGCTTTCAAGTAATGATAAAAAGTACAAGATGTACATAATATAACATAATCATTGATTATAAACTATTATTTACTATACATAATTGTATGTGCTATATACTTTTGTATAATTGACAGTGCAGGTTTGTTTATACCAGCATCACCACAAACATGTCAACAATGCATGTACCATGACATTTCAACTACGTTTCAACTACAATGTCACTAGGTGATAGCAATTTTTCATCACCATTACAGTCTTATGGAACTACCAGCGTATCTGATTGAAATGTTAAGTGGCACATGACCACATAATAAAGTATTATGCATCATTTTCAATTCCCTAGTAAAGCATAATTTATTCAAATAATTAAAGCTACTCTGTAGCAGTAGCTTTAATTTATCTGTAATTTATCTGACATAAATTACATGGCAGACTTAAAAGAGATGAAGAAGGAAAGCTGTTACTCCATTACAAACCCCCTTTATTAAATTCTCTTATTAATCAGAATTTAAGACATTTCAGGAAAATCTCAGTGTTACAGGTAACATTACTCTCAATACAAGTGACACACAAAGAATCAGTGATAAGAGAGAAGAGATTAATAAAAGTTTTCTTGACTTGAGATTATCAGAATGGCATGATTACATCTGATATGAATTCATACAACTATAACAATTTTTTTCTTTTATAATGAATTTCACATAGCACATTTCAAATGAAGCTTTATATTATCATTTGGATATTAACAAAACTAGAACTATAAGAAATAATAGTTAACTGCCTACGTTTAGCTCTTTCTGGAATTATATTCCTAAAAATACTATGTCAGCTGTAATATATTTTGTTTGTATTACTAAAAATGCTGTGTCAATTATGACATACTACCATGGTCCTTATGGAGCAATCCTTAAAAAGTGAATTGTTATCTTCCCAAATTATTAGTTCTATATATCTATAGCTATGGAGAGAATTCTTACTCAAAATATAAAATTAACTATTGGAAAAACTAAATTTTTTTGCCAAAAAACTAAACAAAACAAAACTCTATCATGAACACTTTGCCTTCCTTTATGTTTACAAAAGGGGACATTTTTATTTTTTATTTACATTATCTCTATTTTAAATATTCTTGGTGACAGCATCTTCTCAAAACTGTAAAGGAAGTAGTGAGAAGTAGAGCAGCAGTCTTACAGATAAAGAATTTTTTTCTTTATGTATAAAAATTACCAGCCATGAATTTGGCTTAATTTATTTAAAATTTAATTTTAAGAGTGATAATCTACTGGTCTGCTACCTGGAAAACAGCATGAGAACGAGAAGATGCAGCATTCATATCAGTGGGATGTTGTGTTCTGTTTTTGTTTCCATTATCCAGTAACTGTAAAATTTCTTCTGAAGATTTGGGCTGAAGAAGTTTAAGCGAGAGAAAAATACACAAATTAGCAATCTATCTTTAAATTTTTCAATAAACTTTCAACAAAGGAGAAGGCTTTTTTTTCTTAGCATTAACTTCACTCATGTAATTCTTGTGTTTAGACATTTATACTTTACTATTAATATATTTGACATGTATCCTTGCAATATGCACAGTAGATGAGGTCCCACCAATTACCCTCCCTCCACCTGGCCACCTCCTCCCCACCCCTCACCCTCCTTTTCTCTCCTTCTATCTGGGCTATAATTGTGTTATATCTTTCATATGAAAGTGTGGGTGATTATATATTGATTTCTTAATAGTATTGAGTACATAGGGTATTTTTTTTTCCATTCTTGAGATACTTTACTAAGAAGAATATGATCCAGCTCTAACCATATAAACACATAAGAGGTAAAGTCTCTTTTTTTATGTCTGCATTATACTTTATGGTATATGTATACCAAAATTTGTTAATCTTTTAAAGGTAAAAGAAGATGTACAAAAATGTTTTGTATATATTCAGTCTTTTAAAGGTAAAAGAAGATGTACAAAAATGTTTTGTATATATTCAGTCTTATTAAATATTGACTGTGTATATCATCTGCTTGGTACTTGGGTGTTAGATAAGGAACAAAAGATAAAATTTAGTCTGAAGATAAACCCTGATCATTTAAATCTGTACTTCATTAGGTTCCCCCCACCCCACAGGATAAAAAGTAAGTAAGTAGGTAAAGAAAGTGACAAAATAATCACACTTGCTATTCTAAGGAAAAAGATGTCTATAAACATACCTGGTGTAAAGAAAGTCCCTGAACGACCACCCCTTTTCTGGCATCTTCCCGGACAGCAAGTGGCCCTGAATTTACTAAGAGGTCACGAATCTGTTCGTTATATATCTTAAAATAAAAAGAACTTCTTTATTATTTATAAAAACAACAGTGATTTCCCCACACATACATTGCTGATTTAAGGTTATTTTTATTTTTATTTTTGAGACAGAGACTCAGCTGTCCCCCTGGGTAGAGTGCCATGGCTTCACTGCTCACAGCAACCTCCAACTCCTGGGCTCAAGCGAGTCGCCTGCCTCTGCCTCCCAAGTAGCTGGGACCACGGG